AACCAGAAACTGATCCTAATTACATCAAACCACTCTCTGCCAAAATGCCCAAATATCTGTAACGTGTTTGAATAACAACTGTTGGGAGACATAACTCCATCCAGCTCCCTGGAAAATGCTTCAAATTATCAACTGTAGATGTGCTGACAGAAAGAAAATCTTGTGGGCATGGTAGGAGGCTAAACTACCTCTGGCCCGAAAGGGAATACCTCGGCAGTACAAATGTAATGCTATTTATGTCCCCCCCTGCTTCAAATCCCTGCAGCTCTGAGGAAGCTCCAAATTATAACAGGGCTCCTAAGGGAACAGCACATAATCAGCCCTACTGAAAACATGTTGAATAGCGCTAAATAAATCCCAGGTCTAATTATGTTACTGAGACTGCACAGGGACCGCGCATCTGGAAGTGCCCCCACCAAGTCCTGTGGTAGCTGCACGGTGAAGCACAGCCAGCTTCTCCAGCGTCCGTGGCAGCTCAGCAGCCATCTCCAGGAAGGAGCTGGGAGAGTCCCCTCACAGTGCAGGAGTAGCCCACATTAAATCACTGCTTATTTAATCTGTCAAAATCCTCTTCCTCAGTCTAGGGGCACCTGCCAGGGCTGGTGTGAGAAACAGAGCTGTGGCATTGGGTGGGAATGGCTCACCTGCCTTCAGCTCCTCGCTCCCCTAAACAAAGCCAAACCTCTCCCAAGCACTCGGTACTTAGAAATGATAGAAGCAACTTGGGGTTTTGTCTGCAAATAAAAGAAGGTGGTGTTTTGTCGGTGCAAGAGTTCTGCCATTGGTTTCTCTGGGGCTGTGTTTCAGCTGCATTGTCTCAAGCAATGTTGCTTCAGCAAGCACTGGGAGACTTTGCTCAAAAGCCTCAGCACCCTGCACAGTCTTTTCTGTAGAAAACAATTGGTTTTTTAACCTCAGAAAGTGTCATTCCTTATCCTAATATGAGTGGCACCTTTCTGAGAAACCCTTGCAGGTACTTCATGATGTTAAGCTGCAAACACATAGTAACTAGGACAGACCTCACTATTGGTAGCTGACTCAGACTACATGGCAGCTGTGAAAATAAAGCCTCTTGTTTAGGATCATGAATTTTCTTATGCTACTCTGTTTTTCATTAGTGATTCTGAAGAAAAATATCAGTGTACATGTATCACCAAGAGGTAGAAAAACCTATTTACAACTATTTGAGTTACTCTATATTTTTCTTATGTTCTGCTTCTGTTATTTGATTAGTTGACTGTCAGAAAAGGAGATGACATGCTAATTACTTTTGTAATTGTTATACCAGTTTAGTGCTGATAGTCAATATTACTGTGGTCTGCAGTCAGATTTCTGTATTGCTACATATTATTATGCATCATTGATTCTTGATGATATATGAAGTGAATATTACTAGGCTTTCCAACTTCCTAAAGAGGCCTGAAAGCACCCTGAGAATCTGAGTACTAATTATAGAGACCACAGAGACAAATTCTTTCTTCTTTGCTGCATTAGAAAACAGTAGAAACCAGACAATTTTTGATGGTCAATAGTACCTCTGTTCAGTGTTTAGAACTTATAGAGAATATTTTGTCTCAGTAACATAATTTCTAAAACTTATGGGAAAAAAAGACATTTAAATTTCTCTGTTCTATGTGGCACATATAGCTATCCTTTGATAAAATGCTCCTTTAATGTTGCGCATTGGAAGTCAGGTCTTTCCTTTGAAGTTAGAAGGAAAAAATAAGGAATTAACTTTCCCGTTCTCTGATTCCTCCCAAATTTAGATAATTTATCCTAGAACTTTATTAAAAAGGGGATTTTATTTTCTCAGGTTTTCTCTTTCCGTGTGCATCGTTTTTTTTGTGGCTCATTGCATCTAAATATATTCCTGTTTCTTTTCTCTAATCTGCAATTCTACCACCAGTATTAAGACTAGTTTAATTTTAGTTTCAAAACATCAGACCTTAGCAAGACTGTATAGGTAAATTTCTATTAAAAATTAACTCGGATGTCTTCCCTACTTCTCTTGTAGTGACCACAGATTAACAAAAGCTACTCGATTTGCATTCTGTATTCTCAAAAAAATATTGCACTGCAGAAAATGCTGCTTTTCTTTCACCTGTGGAGGGCTGGTATGTCATGTTCTCCTCTCCTTGCAGCAGTTTCTGGGCACCAAATGGAAAAATCAAGCTGGACCCTTTGAGTCTCACCTCTCTTGAACTTCAGTGTGGTGATACCTGCTGCTCCTTTGCCACCAATATTTTCTGCAGCTCTGTTTGAGCCGTGTGCCTGGGCAAGCAACAAAACTGCTGAGTCCCCAGAAATTAAATTTCCAAGTGGAAATCTCTGAGGCCTTCAAAATTTCTCCTGTGGCTGCTTTTACTAATGAGAGTCCTGGTGGTGACTGTGGCATAGTAGAGCACTGAGACCCCCAAGAAACTCAGAGTTGCTCCGTGATAGTCACTGCTTAAATACCCAGTGAGAAGGAGAGCAGCTAAGGTGGGGAACATCCAAATCTTCTACAGCACTGCTGACTGGGAAGAGCCACAGAACAAAGCAGGCATTGCAATACTCTTAGAACTTTCAAACAGGGGGTGAGAAGTGTTTGAGGGCTGTAACTGCTGGTCTGTCTTTCCTGCTCCTTGCTGATGCCCTATGTCACAGCCAAACAGAAACAAGGGAAAACCACAGGACTGCATTGGCAGGTTGTTCCTCCAGAAACCCTGACTGAGATACTGAAACTTCTCCTCCTTCAGCTCAGTGGTGCATGGGCTCTTTTATCTCCCCAGGCTTCTACAGAATCGGTGTGTTGGAATGATGTACTCTTTGTCCCCTGACATTTAAAAAGGGTAAGGGCATGCTGACAAGGGAATGGAGGCACTTCTGCCCAAGGAACCCCGAGTAAGACAAGACACTTCAGCCCAGCATGGAGAGGGGAGAGATGTGGGTGAATACAAATCTGCTTAGCTTGTGGAAGAGTTAGGAGGTATCAGATGAAGCCAGAGTTGTTGTTCCAGAAAAAAAAGAATTGATGTTCACAAAGGACACAGCCATGCGCTGAATCTACCTGCTACAGAGTGATCGTAATCAGATGTTAGCACAGGTTCAATAACTGGGTAACTTTAGGGATTAAAAGCGTGGTGATTATGGCACACACATCTATTGAATTAAACATCTCCCAGTTAAAAGCTGGGAGAGCATTTTGGGAAAGTACCTTTATATACAGCTTTTCCCATTACCTGTCTTTTTCGTCCACTTTTGACCATTGTCAGACACCGGACACCGGGCTAAACAGACCTGTGGCCTGATCCAGTCTGGATGCTCTTAGGCTCCTGTGTTACTGTGCTTTCCTACAAATATGTCACATCTCAGAAGGTCCACAGGGTATCTGTGGAGTTGCTGAGAGCAGAAACCAATAGCATTTCTTTGCAAAACTGATCTGCTCACAGTGTGGATTGTGCCATAAAGCAGTCGTTTTCCCAGGCTGACAACTAACTTCTTATCATTTGCAATGCTCTTGCCAGAGCCCAGGCTCTCAGGAAGGGCCTCATGCTGCTATCCACTTTGTTAAACAGAAGTTGACTTTATATTTAGTGGTGCATGGAGTGTACAGATGAAACAAATCATTCCTATAGACTCAGCAAGATGAATAGGTCCTGTTGAAAACTAGCAAGGAAGGCTGAATGCAAGATTAATATGCAGTCCCAAGTTATGCTTCCCACAACTTTTATTGATTATTTGGGAAGTAAAAAACCACACAATTCCTTATACAATTCAGACTAAAATTCTTGTGCAATCATTCTTAGAAGAAAATAATTTGTCTGTGAGGAGAGCTTTTTTGACTGGTTACTCTTTGAGGGGTAAGAGGTTTAAAAGTACCCTGTCATCATTTTAGTGTTGTTTGCCAACAAATTCTCAAAATAAGCACAGAATTCACAAACAGAAGAATTATGCTGCCTAGAGGCTTCTCCATGCTATAAGGTTATCCCAGGTAATAGGAAAACTCCTGTGATCTATTTGTTTCTCCCACTTCTAACTTTGATTTGTAACTATGAACTGGTGACTCTTACTGTGAGACAGTAAACATCTCTGTTCCGACAATGTGACGGAGAACTGGCATCAAAAAGTGCTTTCAAGCTCAGGGACTGGACGAGGCACAGACTGCAAACATGTAGTGTGTTGTGTGAACCTTTGATATTTGAATGATGTTCTGTGTTGTGTCCCCAGATGCTTTGTAGATGACCTTCTTGAAGAGATGTACTTTCTGGGTTAGGAGGGCTTCTTTCTGTCAGAAATCTTATAGTAGTATGTAAATTGTCAAATTTACACAGAACAGAAGATCATAATGTCGTCTCTTCTTTCCCAGTCAGTAAGAAGTGCGATTATCATTCATTTACTGTCTTAATTATGTGTTTTAAATTAATACGAGTGCTTTCAAAATCATTGATGACTGGCTGCAAAGGGGAAATTCTGACCAAAATATGAATCTATAGCAAGTCATCTAGAGGATGTGAAAAATTATATCCTGTAAGGTCCAATGCTTTGTATTGATCTTACAGAAGAGACAAATCTCATGGGTCAAAGTTGAAGTGATATGGACAGGAAAAATCAATAATAATTTTAAAAATAGACATTTTTTTCCTTTTCTTTTACTAATTCATGAAAAAAATAAAAGTGCACCATAAGAGTTGCACATTATTGATGTTTTACAGATTACTACTGAGTTGCTTTTTTTTTTAATTAATTATGTTTTGGAAAATATTTTGTACCAGCATCCTGTAGGCAAAAATGTATTTTCAAAGCTGAAATCAAGTATTCTTATCCCAGTAGATCTGGCTTCTGTTGTGGCATGGCTAGTAAAGGGTTTTTAGTACCTTAAACACATAAAAAATTACAGCTTTCCTTCTTTCTTCAGCAGCACTCAGAATTGCCTGTGACAAGATAGAAGGACCTCTGACATTCTGTGATGAATCTCACTGGATGGTTTCTGTCTGACTCTGCTATTCCTGTCTCCCCAGGCCTTTTCCCATGTCCTCTGTAGGCAAAACCAGGAGGTAACAAGTACCTGTGCTCCAGCTGACTCATTCTCAGTCTGGTGTAATAATGTAGTCCCATCTACATCGCCATGGTAAGTAAAATTAGCTGAAAAAACTGCAAAAATATTTTCTTTTCTCCTGTTGCTCCTAAGACTGTGAGCACTCGTGGGCCAGGTAGGCTGTTGGAGATGCTAGCCCTTTAAGCAGTAATCTCCAGAAGTTCTCTGAAATGATGTCTGTGCAAAATGATTTTTGGTGTCACAGACCTCTCTGTATTTTCTGACAGCTTGTGCTAACTCGTATGTAACAAATCTTGGTCTTTTTAGATGTGGAAAGATATACATTTTTCTTGTTTTGTGCAAATAAAAGCTGATCCTCTGGGCTGGAATTTTTTGAAAGCTTTCTGTCACTGAATCAGTGGTAGCAGATTTAGAGTAAAGCTGATTGCTTGTGAAACCTTGAGTCACTGTGGCCCTTGATCAGGTGTCTGGCCACAGGGGACGGGAGAGGAGGCATTCTGTCCTATCTTCCCTTAAACAGAATCAAAATCTAGGAGAAATCTCCTTGGCTGAAAGTATTCCAGAGCTTCACTGACTCCTGGAGGCTGGTTTGGATTTGATCTAGCATTATTTCAGGTTTCAACAGGAAAATTTCATGCAGCTTTACCCTCTTTGCCAGCACACAGAAATTTAGCTGAGAGCTGCTTAGTTTTTTTCTTTCTCTCTTAGGAAAATCATTCTGTTGTGGATTTTTGCCATGTACAAATAAACCACCTCTACCTATTAAAGAGGTCCTTCTGTAGTGTTTTCCATGACACCCACTCATCTGTGTCCACCTTCTTGAATGTCTGTGTCCTGGCATGATCACATTAGTGTTTTTGTCAATGATTAAAATGGAGGCTAGTGTTCTGCAACATATGCCAGAAATAAATTTCTCTTGGCAGGCACCCTGGTGACAGCTTATCCATTTAAAAAAATAGAATAAAGTTAGAAACCAGATTTGAATTATTTTGTTAAAGGGTCAGGAAAATGTTTCATATCCATGTCCTTCTTTCAGTAAGTACTCCCAGTATTTTGCTCCTTCCTACGTCTTGTGGCCTCTTTGTTGAAGAGAATGAAAATGGACATAAGCAAACTTGCTGTTAAATGTTGTTATTATTTAAAGTCTTCAAAATACTGTACTGAATAGACCACTGTGGAAGGTGTCAACCATCAGGAGTAGTTTTGGCTCCTCTTAAGAGCCTATTGCAAAAAGCATGCCCTGTACCTTTGCATAGGAAAACTTGCCAGCTGGAGACCATGTGTGTGAGGGCTGGGAACAGGGTAGGAGTATTCTGCACACCTAATTATAGTCTTTAATATTGCATAATGTTTATCAACCATTAAAAAAAAAATGTTTAATTTCTAGGTTCTTCTAATTGAACATTAGTCACATATTCTCCCTTGACCTCTACTTGCTGTGTTAAAAATTACAACCCTAAAAACGCCTATTTGGAAGATTCCATAATTAAGGAGCCACTTAGTCCAGGAATGTCCTTTCCAGAGACAGCAGACATGGTCTGCTGGGTGAAGGGTTACACTAGTGTAGCCAGTGGCAGAATCCAGCTAAGAGTATATGGAATCATAGAGCCTTTCTGTTTGGTAAAGAAATTTGAGTCCTACCAATAGCCCAGCACTGCCAAGCCCACCACAAGACTGTGTTCCTGGGTGTTACATCTACTCATTTTTCGAGCACTTCCAGGAATGATAATTACACCACTTATGTGAGCAGCATGTTCCAATACCTGACAACCCTTTCAGTGAAGAAATTTTTTCTAAAATCCAATCTAAATCCCACATGCCTCTCCCCCTCCCAGTTCAGCTTGAGGCCATTTCCTCTTGTTCTATCACTTGTCACTTGGGAGAAGGGACCAAGCTGGCTACGATCTCCTTTCAGGCAGTTTTAAAAAGTGATAAGGTCCCTTCTGAGCCTCCTTTTCTCCAGGCTACACACTCCCAGCTTTCTAGGCTGCTCCTCACAGGACTTGTGCTCCAGACCCTTCAACAGCTCTGTTCCCTTCTCTGGACCTGCTCAACACCTCAATGTCCTTCTTGCAGACCCTGCCCTGGTGCTGCTGGCCACACCACTGCTGGTCCAGGCCAGGATGCCACTGGCCACTGACCTGGGCACACGCTGGCTCATGCTCGGCCACTATCAACCAGAACTCCCAGGTCTTTTTCTAGACCGGTGTTTCTTCTTTTCTAGCCGGGTGTTTCCCAGCTGCTGTTCCCCAAGCCTGTAGCATTTAAAAAGTGCAGTGGGAAGTGGATGGAAGGAGTGTAAGGGAGCAGATTGAAACAGAGAAAGAAAAACAATAGGTACAAATTTCTACCAGTTTCCTCAGGCATCCATAGCAGCTGCTTAATGATACATGTATCATTATATCTTGGAGTAGTTGGAGGGCACAAGCAGACTTGATTACACTACAGACAATTGTTTCACAATAATTCTGGACCATTTTTCATTAGCTGCCTCCCCTCACAGCAAAACAAGGGATAATTTTTTTACTAAAAAATCTTATACCTCTAGAAGGTTGTCCAACAGTTAAAGATTTTTAATAATTCATCATGCGAAACATCTTGAGCTAAATACTAAATTTTCCAGCAATAACAACAAAAGATGAATGAAAGGAGCTGGGGTTAACTTGCTCTGATAGAAAAAAAAAGGGTAAGTAAAAAGAACGATGCTATCACTTTTCCATGATTTATCAGTACATTTTTATTACACCTTCCGCTTTGACAAGTTTTGTCACTCAGTCTGTTGAGCTAAACCAGTTCATTCCAAGGAAACTGATTAAGTAACTGATTAAAACAAAGCAGCAGATTTGTCTGCCTATAATCATTTACCATGACACAAGCATTAGGTGGCAGGCCTTATTGGTGAGTGCAGCTGCTGACATCACCTTTCACAAAAATCAAGGACTTTTGGTTTTTGATCAGCTGTCCAGACCAGCAGGCCCCAAGGTGATATGACTGTACTGATGTGAGTAGCAATTTTTATGTCAATTACTTTGTATTCTTTTGAAGCACCTTTAAAAAGAAAGGTCTCATTCATAGTGACATTTATATGTGGTCCTCCTGACTTCATTAAATGGACTGAATGGACCCAGCTATGAACAAGGAGCAATTTGTAGGAAGAGAAGCTGTAGTAATTCTTTTAGGTCTGCTTCCCCAGACACACACTCTGATTCCTCCACCTTGGCTTTCCAGCATGGGTAAAACAGGTGATGGTGGCACTCTGCATAATTTTCAATTTGTTTCTAAAACTTATTTTGGGACCCTGAGGATGCAGCTGGATACCTAGGATTTACCAAAGCATGTTAAAGAAATGAAATGAAAGGAACTAAGAGATTCAAACCAACATCTGTGGTTTTCAATATGAGATAAGGTGTCTATCAGGCTACCTGGCTACCTGCAGTGGTGTGTGATTAGCCACCAAAGGCTCTTCCTGTGAGATGTTCTGAGTATGGCTGTGATTGGTTAGGCACTGGCTGCCTGCCCTTTAAAAATGCCTAAACTCTGGAAGTCAAAGCAAGAGACCATGGCTGTTCAGGATCTCAGTGTAGGACATCCTTGCAGCCAACAATGTGTCCAGGAGCTCAATTTCCAAAATATGTTCTTGTGAGCAGGATGATGTAAAGCAGCTACTGCAAATGGTAAAAAATGATAAATTTTGATTTTTCATCTGTGGGAAGAAAATGCATTTCTCTTTCTTCAAAGGATCACGAATTTTCAAATTACAGGAAAAAAAGAATCTTCTAGTCTTTAGATATTGAATCCTTAAAATATTGAGATGAGACTATAGATACAAAATGTATTCACGTTCCCGACTTCATCTCACTTATCAACGAAACAGAAAACAACTTCTGAATATAAGGCCACTGGAATTTGGATATGCTTTTTAAAATTGTTGATTTAACAACTTATTCTGAGATAAAATGTGTTCTGAAGTGCTGAGTCCTGCACTGGTCACTGCATTGCAATGCAGACACTTCTCTAATCTTACTCAATTCATCATTGCCTTGTTTGAAGATTGCAATTTCAGTAGGTTTTCAGAGAAAAAGAAGATAGCAGCTAACCACAGAACACAGCAAACTGTAAAACATCCTGCTGTGTTCACTTTTACATTGCCCTAGCAATTGATGCTGTTTCCTCTCTTGCCCTGTGAGTTATAGCTTTAGTAAAGCGTTGCCAGATTCAAGCCAGGAGGCCTCTGCTGGCACTGCAGAATGACAATTCTTATCTCTTTTCTATAGCCTGACATTTTCAGTAAGGCCTGGAAGGTTTGGTTAATAGGGTTTGTCAAAAGGGAGCCACAATATAAAATGTTGAAATATGGAAGGAGAGCATAGCAGAGAACCCTTGTCACGTTAAATGTTACCAAAGCAATTTTTAGGAGACTAATTATTCACAATAGATAACTAAACTGTAAATCTCTATTACAAGTGGGGGATTGAATGTGAGTTTCCTTGGAAAGCAGTTCTGAAGTCTGCTCCTTTAATAGCTAATGCATAAGGAAAAGGGTAGATGTGCCAGAGGCTCTGGAAGATGAGAGGTCAAAGGATGAATGGACAATAACTCCTGGATTCATTCCCTCTGCAAGTCCTAAAAAGACATATTTGCATTATAAAATGCCTGATAGAATTTTTTATTAATAGTCTGATATTGAAAGAATTCTAATGTAATAATTCTTTGTGACTATTGATAACTAGAAAAAGGATGAAGGGATGGACATTTAAAGAGGGGCTTCTATATGTACTTAGGCATTGCTCAGCTGGATTTTCAAAGAACAGTGATAATCAGGTACTTCCTAAAATTTCATGTCCTGCCTTTTAGGTGCAAAGTCCCTTCTAGGATGCAATTGCTCTTGCTAATATCCCTGTGAAATCCTGTGCCCTATTACCTGAAATAGCACATAGCAGGTAATCTGTGTCCTGAGGCAGTATTTGTTCCTGTCCTTTCTATTATGAGGCATTTTGTGAGAGGAGAGAAAAGATAGTGGACAGTGCCTGAGATAAGAGGCTTTCTGACATTCTTCTGTGGTAGTTCATACA